TGGGTAAATTGAGAGTATTACTCACGTCACTATCTAGCTGTTTAGCCAGAAGGGTCATTTGCTTGATGATCAATCTGGGCGCAAGTTCGGACAGTTTGATAATGAATGTCGATACAGACTTGGGGCCTCTCGTATCATTAGAATTGAACTCCTTATTTCCGAGCTCCCTACATGTAAAGTTAGCAACTATCCGGTCGGTTTGCTGATATAATCTCACTTTAGGATCTCGTCGGAAAGCTGTGGATAGTCGTATTGTTCTGCTAGAATATGCAGGAATTCGGCCATGGGTTCAGACAGATGTTCGAAGTAAGTCAAGCTTTGCACAATCGAAGTTTGAGCTCCTATGCTAGAGTCAGCTATCGCTCAGCCGGAATATGCATCAGGACACCTACCAAAGGCCTGGCCATGGTGCTTGACTGCAATGCAAAGAACCTTGAAAGCATGCATGCGAATGGCCATGCTCTTCACCCGCTGCTCGCTCTCGAGGACCAGATAGATTGTGCGCGTGAATAGGGTAATAAAAGTGTCACGATCCGAAGTGGTCAAAAAAATGCGTCCTAGCTTGAGCTTCATCACCTTGCACATGGTCTCCATGGATATTTGAATCTGGGGCGTCCAATCCCACTGGCCGCTATTGGCGGATTTCTTAGATTTGGGTCCTCCTCGTCGAACGGGTGCTGCCTCGGTGGGCTTCTCTGCAGCCTTGACCTCTACGGCAGACAAAGCCCACTGGAGAAGGAACCCGTACATCTCCAAAAGCTGCTTATGGTGTTGAATAACATCCTGCTCGTCGGATTCAAGGTCTCCGTGGATGACGTCTGCCTCAACAGACAGGCCAGAAACAACCAAATCCAAAAGTTTGCTCAAGTGCTTTGCAGGAAGTAGGGTCGCGTATCTGCAAGAGTGAAAAGGATCGTCAGATTCGAGTCCAGGCGGGCGGAAGCCTCCATGGGCAAGTTGGGAAGGGACCGGGGCGCACTTTAGTAGAAATTGCAGTGAGTCAAATAACGATGCTCGTGTTAATGCCTCGGGGTTCTCTGCCACAGCATCCACGATCGGGTTCAAGATACTGTCAATCAGCGCTGGCGAAAGTTGATCCGGATCCGATTCGCAATCCAACAGTTCCGGGTCCGCATCAGGAGTCGGGATCGAGGCGGGATCACTCAAGTAGTACTTGAGCGACTCATTTATGTTGAACTCGATTCTGTCCTCCATTGTGGTGTCAAATGAGAAAAAGAGGTGAAAGCGGGGAGGAAAGCCGATTTGTTGATAAGCCCCGTTGTTTGGCTTTTGCCTGTTTGGGTGCTGCTTATGTCATCACGTCGTATTTTACCGCTAGTTAATGCTGCAGACCCCTCTCATGTGTTACCGCACCGCCTTGTATTGATTGATTTGGCTACCAGTCGTATTGTCATATTTGTCACGCGTGGTAATGCCAACCTAGGTTGTTGTGTTTGCATTCTTATCTCGGCAGTTGCGATAGAACATTGAAAGAACTTGACCTTGAAGCAACACGCGACACGATCTTATGACTTTGTTTCTCCACTTTGTACTCAACACATTGAATTCGAAGACTCCTCATTGTTCTCCGTGCCACCATGTCGGCCATACGCGCTGCTCCGGGTGTATTTGAGCTGAAGCGCAACAAGTCCCGTCAAGGGCCACAATTGCAACACAAATACTCGCTGGGACACGACGATGAACCGGTCTCGCCAAGCGATGCACCCCAGGAGAGTGAATATGAGGAAGAGGTGGAGGAATCGGTCAGAGAGGATATGAGAAAGCTTGAAGACACATTCCCAGGAATCTCGGATCGGTTCCGTCTGGTGAATAGGATCGGAGAAGGTAGGACTTGACTGGTTCCCCGTCATTGGTGGGCTTCTTTATTGACAGGCCCAATAGGTACATTCTCCACGGTTTACAAAGCAGAGGACCTTCATTATGATGCACACCAAAATGACTGGGATGTTTCAACACCAACACAAGACAACTATGCGGAGCCTCCATCCAAACGACGGCGATTCGGAAGGGAGCCAACCGGACGAAAAAAAACGAAATTCGTCGCATTGAAGAAGATCTATGTGACGAGTAGCCCGCTGCGGATTCAGAACGAGCTAGAACTGCTGCACGATCTCCGAGGATGCGGGTCTGTCTGCCCGCTGATCACTGCTTTCCGATACCAAGACCAAGTGGTTGCTGTGTTGCCCTATTTCCCCCATACCGACTTTCGCATTCAATACCGCACATTCATGGTTGCAGATATGCGCCATTATCTACGATCCCTCCTGACCGCATTGAACTCGGTACATGAACATGAAATCCTTCACCGTGATATCAAGCCGACGTAAGTGTCATTCTTTCGACGGCCTGAATTATGCTAATATCTTTAAGCAACTTTCTCTACAATCCAGACCTGAAGGAAGGCGTCCTGGTTGACTTCGGGCTTGCGGAGGTATGATTATTGGCCGTCATATGTTGATGCGTTTACTAATTGTCCCCACAGCGCGAAGGCTCCGAATACACCAACCCATGTCTATGTACTCATCAAAGCTACGTCCGTCGAAGCCGGATCCTTTCAAGTTACTACTCCAAGAACCCCCCGTCCACGGGGTTTTCAGCCGGCTACCCTAAGAATGATTCACGGCCATCACGACGAGCGAATCGCGCTGGAACTCGAGGCTTCCGTGCCCCAGAAGTTCTCCTTAAATGCACGTCACAGACCACAAAGATTGACATGTGGTCAGTGGGTGTCATTCTTTTGACTCTACTGGGACGTCGGTTTCCCTTCTTCAACTCTGCCGACGATATCGATGCGATGATCGAAATGTCGAGCATCTTCGGCACCAAACGCATGAAGACCGCTGCGGCCATGCATGGTCAGATTTTCGAAACAAACATCCCCACCATCGGCGAGAAAGGCTACAGCTGGGAGAAGCTGGTGAAATGGTCCAGCTGTGTAGAAGATTTGACGGAAAGCGAGCAGCAAGCTACACGCCTCTTGTCTGGACTGATGGAACTGGAACCGTCTAAGCGCCTCAGTGCCGCGGATGCCCTGGAGCATGAATTCTTCACGGATCCCGTTCACCATGATGTGCCATGGGGAGGTAACCCGGAAGAAAGCGCAGAATCAGGAGAGGAGGAGGAGGCAGATGATGCAGACGAGGTTGCCATGCTATGAGACCCAAGATTATTTGTACGATATGTGAGATCAGTTTTACGCCATACACTGCATACCACTTTATTCAGGGCAATGAAGCAGCCTTCATATGAACAATCCCGCTGTATGCCTATCTATCCTGTATGCAATCTTTTCTAGCTCGCTTCTCCGAAATCGTAGTGCCCGGTCTCCGCGGCATGCTTCGTAGCACCTTTCTCTCCGGTGAATTTGCCTCCACAGACGTTACAGCGAACAGTGAATCCAGAAGTGTCCGTGTAGTAGTGCTTGCTTTGCAACACCTGGCATAATTCTTTAGCCCTTTGCAAGACAACCGGATCAACAGCCTCAAAGATCTTTGTGTCATCATGCGCCAGTGGATTGGCACGAGTATAGGGTGGGCGAGAAGGGGACAGCGCAAGGACATCGTAATGAATCCCCGAATAGACCACAATACACCGTGTTGGTGCTCCCTCATTAAACTGGAACATGTGCAGAGTCTGTACATCGATGGAGCATATCTCGATATTGAAGTATTCGCTGAGAATCTTGAGTTCGATGGCGCCACCCCACGAGTCCTCGTTCTGAATCCAGGTACAGTATTCGTCCGGTTTTTTGCCTAAAATCGCTGCAGTATATTCGGACGGGTTGGATTGAATAGCTCCTGCGACGATCGATCGTAGCTCAACCATCGTATCCATGTCGCCCATGACTGCAGAGCCCACTGCTCGGAAAAGGCACGAGTTGTCGTCGGGCATCACCCGGAGAACGAACGTTCCGGCATGCTCTGGAGAGGCAATTTCTGGCGGGTCTTCAGCGGTGTTCTCTGGTCGTCTTTGCGACAATGATGGCTGCGACGGCTGTGATGGTTGTGGTGGCGCTGTTCGGGCTATGGGCGCATCATCGCTTACGCCCCGGCTGGCCCCCTCTTTCTGTGCGACGATGAGTGACTCCCCATTTAGATTTATCCCAACTTCTAATATCCTTTGGTCTGGTTGGAAGCTGTCAAGCTCAAGTGGTTTGAGAGGGTATCCATATTTGACGTCAAAGGCAGCAAGGCCGGTCTTCTCCGCTATTTGGGTTTGGAGATCTTTGATGGTTGCAGTGTCATCCAAGGTGACAGTTGATTGGCCTGAAGGCCCACGGACTCGGATTCTCATTGTGATGAAGTCCCAAAGAGGCCGAGAGCTTAGGGAACTGTGAAGTATGTTGTAGATAATCTTAAGAACGGAGGTTCCACTGATAGGGAGATATGACGACTTCCGTGTGGGGTAGTTATACCTGGGTACGGAGTATACCAAGGCAGTCTGGAATGCAAGCCAAATGGTATGGGCCCTAAGAAGAGATGGACTGATATGTAAATCAGTAGTCTGTTCAAATCTAAAACAGTGAAGTCGCAAAAGACTGTAAGTAAGGGGAGACTACCCACCAAACTAATCATTGCATGCATGTAGCCAAGAGCTGCATACATATTGTACATTGAAAGTACGCTGAGGCGTGATAACTTCAATTCCAGTCACAGCAGACAGTTGTAGCAAAGATTCTCATAGAAGAGACGTGAATAGAGACATGATTGAGTCCAAATACAGCCTCTTTTAATGAAAAGTTATGAAAGGTGAGGCCATCGTCGTGGAATGTCACGTGAAATGTCATGGAATTACCGTAATGTGAAATGGCCGCTGAGTCAGCAATAGCTTCACCTGTCCACTGGACGCGTTGGTAAAACATCCTCCGACATCTACAGTGTCCCCTATTGTCTTATCTGAATTCTGGCTTGCTTCAATTGATTTGGTCTAAAAGATTGCTAAATTTACCCTTGCGTGGAAACGCGCGTGTCGCCAACGACATGGAGTCCGAAAAAGAGCTATCGCAACCCCCGCGCGAGCAACCCGTCAACTCCATCGAGAATGACGGTGCGATCACGCGCGAAACTTGGAAAATCATGATGGATGTGGTCCTGGCAATTTATGACTACCGAGAAGAGGAGTGCGACTGACTTTATATGAGATATACAGCGAGATCTGGCTAATTGTTATCTTGCGCAGTGGTCATGACCCGTCACGATTGTTCCATCGCAGTGTCAACAAGCGCTATGTTCCCGACTACTATGAGATCATCAAGGAGCCGATGGCCCTGAGTATTTTGAAAGCGCGCATCAATAAACGGGAATATAAGCACTTTTCCGAATTTGTCCGCGATTGCGCCTTGGTGAGTGGTTGCGCCCTCCAGGTTTGCAACTAGCTAACGATATAGATCCCACACAATGCGCAGACATACAACAGACCTAGATCACAGGCCTATGAAGATGCTCTGGTTGTCAAAGTATGTCGGAGTGAACTCGGTCACCCTGTGCACTCAACTGACAGTTTCCAGGAAGTTTTCGCCGCCGAGTTCAAAAAGCTGGCCGCCCAAGGCCTGATCCCCGCCGACGAGGCAGAGCTACCCGATCTCGGAGAGATCCCAGAGGCCGATCCGCTGCCGGATGATGAGGAGGAAGAGGAGGAGGAGGAAGAAGATGAGGATGACGACTCTGAGGATGAGGGCCGACGAAGAAAGAAGCCCGGTCCCAAGCCCGGCTTCAAGCGTGGGCTGACTCAAAAGCACGAACCCGACCTTCGCAAGAAACGAGGCCGTCCTCCCCGCGTGGACACACCTATGGAAATCCGCATCAAAACAATTCTGAAGGGAATTCGGAAGTTCAAGGGCGCCGGTGGCCACCTGAAGATCACACACTTTGAACGCCTGCCCGACAAATCCGCTTATCCGGACTACTACCTGGAGACTAAGGAACCCATCGCCATCGATATTATCAAGCGCAAGTCCAAGCGCAAGAAGTACAACTCCGTCGATCATTTCATGCGGGACCTTGACCTCATGTTCGAAAATGCCAAGGCGTACAACCAGTCGGACAGTCAGATCTTCAAGGATGCGGTTGATCTGCAAACCGAGTCACGAAAGTTGGCCGAACAAGAAAAGAAGAAGCCTGATAGCGAGTTCTTGATGGAAGACGGACGCTTCCCACTCCCTGATGGTATTCTCCACCGCGGTGAACTGTGGAAGGTTGGCGACTGGGTTCATATCCAAAACCAAAATGATGTAACCAAGCCCATCGTTGCACAGATCTACCGAACCTGGCAGGACTCCGATGGGGAGAAATGGATCAACGCATGTTGGTACTACCGTCCTGAGCAGACCGTGCATCACGTCGACAAGCACTTCTACCCCAACGAGGTTGTGAAGACTGGGCAATACCGAGACCACCGGATTGATGAGATTGTGGATCGCTGCTTTGTTATGTTCTTCACCCGCTACAGCCGTGGTCGCCCAAGAGATCTTGCACCGGATAAGGAAATATACGTGTGTGAGGCTCGCTACAACGAGGAGAAACACAAGTTGAACAAGATCAAGACATGGGCCAGCTGTCTGCCAGATGAAGTGCGAGAGAAGGACTATGAGATGGATCTCTTTGATGTGCCGCGCAAGATCAAGAAAATTCCCAGTCCGATCAAACACCTTCTCAGAGAGGATGCCAAGGAGACCGATGACCTTCCTCGGCCGACCTGGGGAACCGACAATGCGCCCCCTCTTGCCGGCGCTGTTCACCGCCGTCCACGAGACGAGAATGTAAGTCTTTTTCCCCCCACATGAGAAAAGATCCTGAAAGCTGACAACATTAGGAATCACCACCACCCGAGCCAACTCCATCCCCGCCTCCTCCTTCCTTGCCTCAGTCTGTAGTACCTCGTCAATCACTGGGCCTGGGCCAATCACTTTCCAGAACAGCCATGAGCCCAGGCACTGCTGGACTCCAAACACGTACTCCAGCACCCCCAATCATCATACACACTACTCCCGCCCCCATTCGCCCACCGGGCTTCCATCAAATGACCCCATCCCAAGCCTTTACGGCGTCCCTCCAGCGCCGCGCAAGCAACCTTGCTACCCCGCAAACCCCAGCAGGCTACCAGCCCTCACCATCGGCCCAGCAAACCCCCGCCACCGGCTACTCTCAAAGCCGCATGCAAGCCCCACCAGCTGTGTACAACCCCAACGCACCGCGACCCATTGAAGTCTTCCACCTGAGCGACACAGCCAACGCTGCCATCCCTGAAGACATCCGCGACCAATTCCACTGCGACGACCAAGGGCACGTGCTCTTCTTCTCCACACCGCCGGTGGATTTCATCCCGCCCTCCAAGAAGAAGCTTGGCCATTCCCTCAAATACCTCGCTACCAAAGAGGAGCATCAGAAGAAGGTCGCGGAGCGGAAACGCAAGCTGGCTGACGAGAAGATGGAACGTGATGAGGCTGCGAAGCGCCAGCGCGCTGAGGTGGAGACTACACTTGCGGCCCGTGCCGAGGCGCTTACCGGTAAGGCGCTTGAGACGTTGGTGCAGCACGTCGTTGCGGGTACGGATCAGCTCTATGAATCTCTCCATTAAGCATGGATGATGCTATGGACTTTGATGGAACGTGGGAGCGTGGTTCTGCGAGGAATCGCCAGGCTATGGGACAGTTTACGGAGAATGGTTTGGTCAATTTGGAAGGTACTGCTTTGTACCTGCACAAGGCTTACGGAGAAAAGGCGAACATACTGGTGTGGCTTGGCGTAATCTTCGGAGGCATTCTGTTCTAGTTTAAGATGTGTATGATTAGGTATCAAATGAAATGATTATTATGTATGTTACTCCTGTTACTTCTAACTAGCCATACCAACCTACTCCCTTTACGAAGACTAGTATCAAGGAATTGTTTATTTGCACATCTCCAGTTTGTACATGCCTGCAGTCCTGGGAATCAAGACCACATTTTCCGACAGTAGGGGACAAAGAACAAGGGAGAAGAAGACAAAGCAAGCACCTAGTAAGCCCCAGAGATCGCAGTGGTCGTGGAATCATGAAACAAAAGCAGAGATAGAAAAAGAGGCGAGATATGTCAACCCAGGTACAGTGCAATATCCAGGAATGGAAACGAATAAAAAAAGAGAAAAGGCAGAGATTAATACAGTAAATGGCTGGTTAGAGAGATCCTCTGAAGGCCCAGCAACGAGAAACACATATGACTGGTCTAAATGATTCCAAATGATGGAATAAAACAAGGCAGATGATGCTGAGTGCCAGTTTATGATGAGAGGGATGTGAAGTTTTTTTTTGTGCCTTTTGTTTTTGCCGAATCAGATATCTCACTTGAGGAGAGAAAAGGATGTATTGTCTTCGACCCTTCTTTTGTTTTGTCTCTTTGATGTATGTTGCCCAATTGAACTCCGATGCCCTTTTTCCTGTGTTTTTGGTGAGTATGAACATGTCCCAATGTTGGACTTGGACTTGACATGTCGTGATGAAATTGATTGAAAACAAACGACAGATTAGGAGGAACTTTCTTTGTTCTCAGTCCACGAGGCACTGGTCCGCTTGTGGCCGACCTCTTCCTCCATGTCGAAGACCAGGTCACTCTGCTCTTCCTCCTCAATCTTGCCTGTGTTGACAGGAGGGGAGATGATTCGGTCAAATCGGCCGATAGGAGTAGGACCGATAGGAGTAGGACCGATAGGGGTAGGATTGCTGAGACTGCTAGGAATGGCAGGCGATGGACGAGCAGAACCAGGGTGAAGGCCCATGCCGCTGAGCTGCTCGGAGATAATGGACATTGAGGATTGACGTCCAGGGCTCGAGATGAACGACGCTTCGTGGGATACCCGGCTACTACCAATGGGTCCCAGGCTAGGGCTGGTGATTGGGTTCAGTGATGACTCACGGAGAGGGGAGCCGATGTGGAAAGAGGAAGAGCCGTGAGATTCCTCTTCCTTGCGCTGGCGCTGCTTAGCAAACAATGCACCAAAGCGAGACGGGCTCGACGCCAGGGGAGAACCATTCTTGGAAAAGCTGGTGCTGGTCATGCCAAGGCCAGTGAGGTCGCGGTGGCTGGAGCTTAGGTCGTTATCGGTCCGGGAGAGGCGGCGCAGCTTTTCCTGTGGAGTCAGAACATCGTCGTGCAGATTGAATGGTAGATAATCCTCTTCCATGGGGAAGTTCTCATCCCATTCCTCAAGGGCCGTGGGACGAGGAACACTAGCGGAAAACATGCGTGGCCTGACGGGGCGCGACGAGTGCATGAACCGGGTACCGACTGTATCTTCGGGGGCGGGAGGAGAAGATCCTATGTTCGATGAAGGCTTGCGCAAACTGGTGCCATAGCCGAGATCGCCCAGGTTCCGGAATATATCTGCATGAGCCGGTCTCTGGGGTGGTGGCGATTCCAATCCAAATTGCGAGGGCATGGAAGCAGCCACCGGACCGTAACGGGCAGCATGAGAGATACCTTGACTGTCGAAGGAAGCCGGGAGCCCTGCATCGAGGGCGCTGAGGTGGTTGTTATTAGGCGACATGAGGTATCGGACATCTTCAGCGGGAGATCCATACTTGGAGCCGGCATCGGATGCCAGGCCCGTATCGATCGTGGGGATTCCATCATAGGACGGCTGTTGCTGCCCATGCAGGGATTCATACTCCTCTTGCGGGGCCAGCTGAGCATATCGAGGCTGCTCGTGACCGTTCATGCGCTGTTGGGAGAGCACCGAGTTGGTCAAGGCGGAGTCCTGGTTGACATAGGCCTGCGGATTCACCCGGCCGCCCAGATTGAGATGGCCGCTTCCTATTCCCATGTTCCCAGTCGGCCGGTTGACTCTCCGTCCATCTGGTAGGATATGCGCCAGTGCGCATTTTGCGCCGAATTTGCAGTTTCCCTAAAATCATTGCCCCGTTAGCTTCCGACGGCCTCGGATAATAAGCCATGAGAGGAGGACTTCGAAACAGTTCCGATTTCATACCTTCGCAAAATACTTGCACGGAGCGTAATCAATGCCGGCATCGGTGGAGTGTAAAAACGGACAGGCGGGGCCTGCCTGGCAGGCACCCTGGCGGAAGAATTTGCAAGGAACATGTTTGGTGTCTGTATATATGATAGCAGACGGTTAGTTTCGCATTCCGGGTATCGCTACACTCATATGAATGAATCAAGTCAAGACTTACTCTTATTGCTCTGGTTCGGCGGGCTGCGGGCAACGTCAAGTGCCGATGGATTGCGAGAATGTCCGTTCTGGGGGTTCTGGGGTGCCCCAGAGGTAGCCGGAAGAGGCGCACGACCTCTCATCTCTGAATGATTGGCTCGACGAGATGGCGGAGCACGAGAAGACACCTGCATAGAGACGTAGGAGGGGTTGGAGATTGAAGAGGGGAAAGAGAGATAGGCCCAGGCGGTGGAGACGGCGGGGAGATCAAATAATAGATGATTCACGACAATACGAAGAACTGTGAAGAAGTGAAGTTAACGCGGCGTATTATTAGAATAATAATAACATCATTATGTTATACGATCTCACCACAGCCTTGTCTCATATGATAATGTTCATCTGATTGCGGTTCGCCTCATCCCGCGTTGCCTCCATTCCATACCGGCGAATCAGATCTCCCATCGGAAATAGAATACACACCTTAAAGCCTCTAGAATCCCCCCGGTAGCTCTCACACTAAACGTGTGCATGGGTGTCAAATGATGTGACTCGGGTGGGGACTAGGTAGAGAGATCACCACTCCGCGATGACCTCTTATTGGAGCGTTCCTTCAAGCCCCAAAGATTCCTGATAACATTTGTCAGAATTCCAGAGCATGAACGATTGGAGAGCTTTGAGGCTATGTCACTCGTCATTCGCAAAAACTTACCCAGAGCTCCGCCGCAGTCATGTCCTCCGGAAGTACCTCAGAGCATTGGTCCCAGAGATCGCGACAGATCCGACGGCGCAGGTTGGCATGTCGTTGCCAATATTTCCATTCTTTTTCGAGCTTTTCTCTTTTTTCTGGTGATATTTGAACGGGGTCGCCCTCGTGACGACTTGCCAAGCGAGCCTGGATCGTCGATTCCTCGCTCTCAAGACGGCTGATGTCCTGCCGGAGTTCGGATATTCGGGGCTTTGCGTGCAGGGCTGCTAACGCTGCTCGGGCCTTCTTTTCGTTTGCCTTTAGAGTTGAAATCTCGTCTTCGAGCCTTTCAATGTCACGCTGGAGAGCTGCAGCTATCTCTGGGGTTGTGATATCCGAGGGATCTTGCAGAGCATGGTAAACTGCCTGTTTGCCTATACGTCACTTGGTTAGTATGTCTTTCTGTTCAAGTATGTCAGACTTACCAGAAGCTCTCCCTTCAATCTCGTTCTTCTCGTGCAAGTCCCGAAGAAGCTTTGCGGCTTGCGCTAGAAGCCCATATATTAGGAAAGCCTAGACAGGGTCATAGAACCAGTCTTACTTTTGGTCACCTTGTTGTGGAGATTTGCAGAGACATCAATGGCCTAGACAATGCTTGGTCAACTCTCTGTTCCTCAGGCTGTCATGAAGAGGGAGCGAACCGAGTATGGACGACTGGGCCAGGCGATGTTAGCCACCATCTCGAGTATCAAACAACTTATTGGAGCTAACATACTTTTGTTGGCCTGCAAACCCATCCAGTAAGTCAATTGTGAGCAAACATCTGTCAAGATCCAGATTCTTTCCAGATACTCACGAAGGTATTCTCGGATCATTGAAGCATCTTTGCAGTCAAGGTCAGCAGGTCAACAAGGATTTGATCAAGAGAATATCTCACCATCATCTGCAGATGCATCTGTCTTGGGCTTACGTGGAGCCATGGTGTGATTATTAGGAAGATGTTTGAGATTGGGAAGATGTTTGAATGTACTGAGTTGGTACGAGTTGGAGTTCACACCGGTGGACCTCACGTGTGTGAAGTGACTACAGTGACACTACAATTCAAAGACTGAACTTTCAATGACAATAAATTCACAGTAAATTCACAACTACTCCTAATTCATGCCCAAACTTACAACCCGAATGATAATATGTCCAGGGAAAAGAAACAAAAAAGCTTAAGGCAGATATGAAATGGGCGCAAATGCAGTCATGTGGAAACAAGAAGCCATTGAGACCATTCGCCTCCCGGACGGCGAATACTTTTTGAACCCCCGAGATTATAGAAAGTAGAGAAAATGCAAGTGGAAGGGAGACAGCCAAACGTGCTTGGATAAGGAACAGAGCCCGGGGTATCACATCACAATCTGCAAAAGTCAGCTTTGAGTCAAGTTCAATGGCTAAAAAGTAGGGTTTACATACGCAATCACTGTCTTTCGCCGCACTAGGAACACCCATCTCTTCAAAGGTCTTGGGTCCCTTGCTTGGTGGCTTGGCGGGCTTCGGCTGGGGCGCGGATGAAGTCGACGATGCGACTGAGGGGGCGATCGAGGGCGCGATCGAGGGCGCCGGCTGAGGCGTCGAGGCACCCGAACCGTGAGAAGATGGCCGAGACTCCATACGTGGAGGAAACGAGGGCGAACCAGGCGGACGAGGAGATACCAGACCGGGTGAGGACATTCCGGAGTGGCCAGCAGTAGGAGGTCTCATAGGCTTGCGTTCAGCCGAGTCAAGTCGAGGTGGTGGGCGTCGCCCACCTGGAGGCGGCATTGGTGCAGAATAACCAATATCGAGACGAGGAGCCCCACCAGAACTGACCATGTTACTAGACTGTGGGCTTGTAGGTCCAGGAGGAGCGCTGAGAGGTGCTCCAGGGACGGGCTGGCGGTAGTTCATGGGCCCGTTAGGTCCATAGGACGGATTGTGAGATCTAGGGGGGCCTTGGGCAGGTGGACCACCATATCCCGAGGGTGCATTGGTTCGAAGATTGGGAAGGTTTGGATTAACGCCGAAAGCAGAGCTTGGGCGATTGTCTGACAGTTGATAACTCTGCTGGGGCTGGGGCCGGGGACGAGTAGAGGAAGGACGATCGGGGTAAGGAGCTCCAGATGGTGGGCCGTCAGACAAACTCATCCTCGAGGGATCTGGCATTTGGATGTTCTCTGGGGTTGATTCCACTGAATTACCTCGCTGATGAGCGGTATATCGCGTCGATTTGATGCGCGAGACAGCGATTTTCTCATGGTCCTTTCTGGACAGAGTCTTTGAGCGCGAGATACTTTCAATCCGACCAGATGCATCCTTGTTACCACTAGCAGCGGCCTTGGCGTACCAAGAGCGGGCTTCCTTAATATCCACCGGTACAAAGATACCAACCTCATAGAAGTAACCCAGAGCAAATTCGGCTGTCGGAAGACCACTCTGGGCCGCGCGTTGAGCATATGTAAATGCTAGCTCGTCATTTTTCTCAAAAATACCCTCATGTCCACACAGGAACCATTTGCTGATCGCCATCTCGGCTTCGGGCTCACCCTGACGGGCTGCCAGTGCATTGTAGTGCAGGGACAGCGCGGGGTTGAAATCACAGCCCAGTTGACAAAGTTCATATGCAGCACCCATCTTGACCTGGGCCTTGGCGAACCCGTGATATGCCGCCTTTTCGATATTTACACGTGCCATGTTCAGATCGAGGGGTAGGAAACTTTCCGGGACGCTCACTTGAGGGAGCTCTCGAGCCAAGAGCATGCCGTATACCTTTTCTCGATTAGAATGATTTCGAAGATAGAAATTTAGACAAAACTCACGTATGCGCCTTGAGGTGCGTTCTGGTCGCATGACTGCGCCGCCAGCCGGATGTAGTCTAACCCAGTGTTGAAATCCTGGTGCTGTCCATGCTGACCCAAAAGAATCATCATTCCCAGGCGCTGAAAGTATGTTAGTTTCTCCACTATGTCCAGTCTATTTGATAACCCACATAGTATGAGGCAGAATCCGCCCGCGCAACACCCCGCTGGTAATGTTTGATCGCCTTCTCAGGCTCACCCGAGCTCTCAAATTGCATTCCGATGCGGTACTCGGCACGCGCATATCCCTTCTCAGCGGCTCGGGAGTATGATCGGAATGCCTCCTTGCGATCGACGGGGCAGCCAAATTTGCCGAACTCGAGCCACATGCCCTTGATAAATTCCGCTTTGGGGTGACGCTGCTCGGCAAGAAAGCCGACAATGTTCATCGCGTCGACTCTTAGCCGCCGCTCCACCTGCGGGGTCTGCGGGCGTGGCGGTTGGGTCAGAGAGAGGCGGACATCGTTCTGCGCGGCAACCTCGACAAAGGCGAGGGCATCCAAGGCCCATGCAAGTTGCATCTCCGGGTCTGTGGTCGACAGCACGGCCATCCGCGCGCGCTCTAGGTTCGCCTCTCTCTGTTCATCGGTGGGCGGGACGTTAGGTGGTGGGTTCCGCAAAACCGGGAACGGTGAGAAGTTTGGGTGATCCATGCTATCATAGGTCGCGGATTGCGCGTAGGAATTGGGATCATGAGCTTCATCGTGTGGGGAATGGACGGCGGACGAGGTGCGTTCGGGATAGGTGTTAGCGCGTTGGTATGGCGGTTGTTGTTGCCCGCGGCGGGGGTCGGCGCGGTATTCCAACTCAGCGATATTGTCCTGCATGTTCTCGGGCACTTCTGGCATCACTCTAGGGTGAATTAGTACTCGGATTTTCGGCATTCTCGGCATTCGCAGGATTTGCAAAGATCGCAGAGATGACAGTGATGACAGAAATCGCGGAAATCGCAGATAGATGTGAATTCAAATTGATACCTTTGAGGAGATGGGGATATGACCTCTGGCATGTAGAAGTCATCTTGCCCCCTGGATACCATGTTGCACCTAGGTGCTGCTGACCACCCTGTGGTGGTCTGTTCATTGTGAAATTGTTAGAGAATTGTCCAATCCCCCTTGTCAATAGTAAAGGTCGAATAGTGTCAAGAGAGAGGGGGAAATGAAAAGAGGAGTTGAAGGTGATTTAAGGGAAAAAGGTAGACCCCCACCCCCGCCAGGTCAAACGGATTTGAAGAAGAGTTATTATTAGTATATTGATAGTAGTATTGGTAGTATTAATAGGATATACTCTTCTACTTCTAGTAATATAATAGCGCCGACCTGTATAAGCTCCATTATGTACATATTGTATTCTTCAGCCTCATCGATGGATGAGGTACAACATACATAACTGTACCGGCGGACGTAGGGGACTTCCATCTGGTGGGGCTCTCTTGGGGGCCGCTTTAAGGCGGATGTAAGCTGACTAAGTCGGTTTCACCGCCGAGGTTAGGTAAATCTCAGTCCGGGAGGCTGAGCGCTAAGCCACGTGATAGTTATATCAGTGAGGCTAAGTAATCAACACAGCCCCACAGTGTCTATTTTGGTAAGAATGATTTTTGATGAGCGGAGTAATCTAGAGACTTTCTCAGCAGGAAGAGCTCGTTAATGATGTCAAGGGTTGAATGATGGAGGCTTGGAGTTTCATAATGTTAATGTGGCTATAGAATCATAACTATATCACATCTCATGAGCCTTATGTATCACTCCAAACTCATATCCCATTACAGTGAATCCGACATCCCATTCTTGGTAACCACAGCACTCTTCTCACAGGGCTTTGGGTAGTGATCGGATGCTGCTTCCAACCCCTCGAGCATCACTGGGTCTGTGTGATCCAATTTGGGATCCTCGAAAAGAGCGGCGAGCTCAACTTCGGTTTTTCCTTTCGTTTCCGGAAACACGAAAAATATGATCAAAGTCTTTATAAAAGGAATTAGTACCCGAGGTATGGGAACAGTAGTAGAAATTGCACTCACGCCGAGGACAAGCATTCCCAGGTAGAAAATATAGTAGTAATATCCAATGCTCTCCAGTGCAATGGGATTAACATATTGATTGACGGTAAGTGCTGCCTGTGAGATAGCCACTTGAATACTTAAACCCTTGGCCCGAATTGCAAACGGCAGAAGCTCCGTCGGATAGCAATAAAGAAGTGGGTTATTGGCCAGATTAAAGGCCGCATCGTAGAAAAAAAGAAATACAACGACAGCAAACGAGGCTCCCTTGGATCCATGTTGGGCATACATGGCCGAACATATAGTCAATGGGATGTTGACGAGAATCATGCCGATGAATGAGATCAGCCAGAGAGTTCGTCTGCCGATTCGGTCCGCTAGTAAAGCCCCTGCTAGGGGAGAACAGCAGGTTCCATATCTGCAAGCCACCGTTGATACCGGTTTGCTGAGGTGTAGAGGTGATACCAATGCTGGTCAAGATGGGGCTGAAGTAGTATCGATTACTCCCTGGCCGTTCCAGAGTGTCAAGAGGGCAACAGTAGCCACCAGGGCAATTCGTTTCCAATTTGCCGGCGACTGGTAGAGAATGCGCCAGCTACTTTGACCACTCTTTTGGGCGGCCGCCTCAGCCTCCAACAAGGTATGTATCTCTTCCATCTCATGGATCACAAGAGCCGAGTGCATGTTGCCGTTGCTATGATACTTTGCAAGCAGTCGTTGGGCTTCTTCCGGGCGGTGTTTTGCACAAAGCCATCGCGGACTTTCGGGGAGACCGCAAAGAACGGACATCATGACGAGAAGTGCGGGAACTCCTTGAATGAGCGACGGTATACGCCATGACCAGCTGGTAGTCATATATCCTGTGCCAAACGTTGTCCATGCCGCGATGATGGAGCCTACGTACCAAAGTACATTGAACTATAGAAGTCTCAGGTCAGCGGAATGTATAAAGAGCTTGGATATATTAGTAAGGGGACCTTACCAAAGAAGATATTGTGCCACGCGTCGCCGGATGAGCCAGTTCGAAGAGCAGCGAGGGGCCAGCAACACATGTTAAAGTAATTCCAACGCCAATCAAAAACCGACCACCAATAAACATACCAGCTGATTGTGCAGCTGATTGTGCAGCTGTTTGAATTACAGATCCCGAAAACGTCAGGCTTGCTCCAACAAACATGGCTACTCGTCGTCCGAAGTAGTCCACTGTGGGCGAGGCAATCAGAGCACCAACAAAGCCCCCAACGAAGACAATAGTTGTTATGAGTCCGATTCTAGATGAGTCTGGATTTCCCATATCTGGTGAGAGCTGCATGGTTAGCTTCTATCTCGAAGGGAATGTAGAAAGGATCTACGGACCTTTGACCCAGGGCTTCATGGACTGGAAACTTCCCACCACACTTTCATCATAACCAGTGGTCATTTGCGATATAAGGATGGTAGCCTGCCATGCTAGTAGCTTGCGCATACCAAGATCTTTCCACCATTTGTCAAAGCGATGAGTTTCGATTTCATGAATGGGGGCAGTCATTTTGGAGGATGAGGTTGATCTCCGGGGTTAACAAACACAGAGGAGGGCATCTGGGAGAGCCAAGGAACCCATTGAACTTATATTTTGCCATGATCAATGGTATCTGAGAGTGCAAGCAGATAGTTCATTGACGGTTGTAGATATCGATGTTGGTCAACTCGCGCGAAACTCGCGCGAGTTTCTTATCTGCGGAGGCGCGGCAGTTTCCGCCAACCACTCCGAGGGACATTTCCGGATACAATTAGGGCTTAAATAAAGACGCAACATACCGAAGTCTGCTTTCAAGATGCTTTCAAGGCGCTTTTACCAATCATTGACATTCCCGACCGCTCGATCCTGTACCTAGTTTCCCACCCATACCATGCCCCATCCAACGACTAATCAAGTCACCGTGGACGATTCCAAAGTTCATGGAGACTGGCGAGACGAATTGTTCCAAAATGGGTACGTTGTGGTGAAAAACGCCATCCTACCTGAGCGATGTGAATACTACATCGACAAGATGTTTGAGTGGTTGGAAAGTTTCCCTTTCGGGTTTGACAGGAACGATCGCTCAACTTGGACCGAACAACATTTACCCACGCATATCAAGGGCGGAATGTATCCTGGATACCGTATCCAGCATGAGAAGTTTATATGGGAGGCTCGAACGTAAGTCTTCAATTCCATATCCGACGATACACAGCTAATCGATTTGACCAGAGAGGACGGAGTAATCGAAGCCTTCGCAAAGCTATGGGGAACAGACAAGCTTCTGGTCTCTTTCGATGGAATGAACTTCACTCTTCCATCTGGTACTACTCTGCCACAAACTAAACCTTGGCCACATATTGATCAAAGCCCACTGCGACAGGGTATGCAGTGTGTCCAGGGTGTTCTCAACTTCGCACCAAATGGTCCTCAAGATGGGGGTCTTCTCGTCGTGAAGGGATCTACAAAGCTTATGCCCGAGTTTGTCAAGACTCACTCGGGTGAAATTGGCCGAGAAACATGGGGACCTAGCGATTGGTTTGGCTTTGACGAGAGTGAGGTGAAGTGGTTCGAGGAAAGAGGCTGCGAGATTCTTAAGGTGAATGCTGAAGCCGGAGATCTTATTCTTTGGGACTCTCGCACTATGCACTTCAATTGCGTCCCATCATCTCAGAATCTACGTGCCGTTGTTTGTGAGTTCTCTTCTCCGATCCAAGTGGTCTCTCTCTGACTGTTCATAGATGCGTGCTATACACCAGCATCCTTTGCAACGCCTGATGTCTTGCAGAAAAAGAGTGAATTCTTCGACCAGCGAATTGGAACGGTAGGTTATCCTTTCTCCTGTCTCTTCTGCATAAAAGGGCAGTTTATTAACTTCTTGAATAGACACATTGGCCCCATGACAATCTATTCACTGAAACTAGCCACGCAAACCGCCCAGAAGAGGACGAAGGGGACTTGACCAAGCGTCTTTATGAGGAACCTGTTGAGACGGACTTGGTGTTAAAGCTGGCAGGGAAAAAGCCTTACTAGATGTTTTTAGATTACTTACTCGCCCATAGCTCATATCTTTCAGATTCAGATAGTTACATTCTTCCTGAGTCCTCTCAATCGATTAAGTATTTTGACATGGAGCCGAATTTTCTTCCATATCCCTAGTCTCTTTCATATGTGGGTATAAGAGAAGAGAAAAGCGACGTAATAAGAATTTTCAAATCCGCTCTAGAATGCGAAGCACCTGAAAACGAACAAATCCAAAGTACACTTAGCCCATCATACCTATATTATTACTCGTACAATAACTAATATCTCGCTAAATGACTTCCAGCGAAGGTCTCGATAAGGATAATCTCGGGGTATTCAAGGTGGGGATGGTTAGACCAATCAGATCAAGTCCCCCAAAGGGTCATAGATAAAGACCGCCAAGGCTGCATTTGTGTCTTCCACATATCCTCAATGACAGCAAGAAAGAGCCAAAGGGCACCCAATGCTTGCTCTAGTTGTGCTAAATGTCGGGTGAGGTGCGACAAACAGGTCCCATGTGGAACTTGTCTTGCAAGAGGCCTAGAAACTACGTGTGCAAGAGAAGTTGTCAACGTCAAAGGCCGAGTTACCAGGTGAGTCAAGCAATCCAGTATATAACTAGTGCTAAAACAGAGACAGCGGAAATCGACGTCTTCTACATATCCTAGACAGGAGATTTCCGCTGAAGTGCTCGAAAACCAGACGAATCTGCAACATGGAAAAAGCGATTATCATCAGCAGGTGTGGAATCGAACAGACATCTGGATGCCAAGCAAAGACTGCAGTGATATTTTATTGCATCACGGCTTTACCTGGACCTCATGGATCCATTTTGCTGTTCATCTGCAGACATTCGAGCTGGAGCATGAGTCTGCTTGGATAAACGGGGTATTCCTTGATGGCGATCCTCTCTGGCTTGCTATATATTTTGGCTTCATAGCAGTGAGCAATATTTCCTGTTTTTCTTTTATTGACGAGGAACCTAATTGATCATAGATGAGTCTGATGCTTATGGATGAGGATGAAGTTTACGGATGAGGATGAAGCTAGAAGAGCGTGACTACCTCTAGGTTTGACTACCCACGCGTTTTCCCAGTCAAGTTAATACTTCTCTAGTCTAATGCATCCTAGAAAATACGTCTGAACTTGTTCAGAATTGGTACGGCGCGGCACTATTTTTCCTCAACGAGGCGGAGTTTCTACGAAATCCGAATTTCAAGACAGTACAGTCCATTGCCATACTTCTCGGATTGGCCAAAAATGTTGGGGACTTTGATCTTCAACCGGTTCTTCATGCGACAGGAATAAAGATAGGCCAGATTCTAGGAATTGATCAGGAGCCTCCCATGATATCCGACGACCCTGTTATGCAAGAGATCAGTCGACGAGTTTGGTGGACCTTGGTCATCTGTGAATGGCTGTCCATACCAGCGCGACCGCCTTGCATCCACCAAGCAGACTTCAATGTCAGGCTGCCTCTGGTCCTATCTGATGAAGAGTTGACGACGGGATTGATCAATGAGCCGAATATGGCAACCGAAATGCCACGTCCAGTGGATTATCACAATGCTATGATCTTTTTAGCAAAGTCGAACTATCACTTTCAAATCCAAATGAGGGCTATCGAAAATCTGGATGAAGATAATCTTCTGGAAGACCTTGTTCTGACAACGGATGAAGCGCTAGCCAATATCATCTCACAGTTGCCATCTCATCTTCTCGAGATCTCCGGAGGACTAGCCAAAGACAGGGAACAATATCCACCCTGGGTACTGTGGCAACAAACCACATTGTCTCTCTCCTTTTTGTTCTATTGAATGAAGGTCAACCGAGTCCTACAACATCGATGGGCCTCTTCTTCGGATGTCCTTCTTGCAAGGTCAAAAGCAATCTGTTTAGACTCGGCCAACACGATTGTGTCGATGGTCAAGCAACACAAAGTTGTCTTGGCACGCCATCGTCCATGGTGAGTCTCAATTCTTCTTCTGCTTTTCTGGGTCCTGTTCACTAAATATTCTACTTCTTCTTCCTCATGATAGGGCAACAACCTCTGCCCTGTTTTCCACTGCCTTGACCCTTGCAGCAGAGGCAAAGCGTCTTGACTCAAATGCCGCAGAGGAGTACATTGACAGAGTTCAAACTTGTTTTTCATTTTTTGAGTATATCAAAGATCACAGCGCTCTTGCAACGCGAGTCCTAAGTGAATTGCGGGCGTTTTGTTTTCATGATTCTGAGTCAACTAGTGTCTAGTAATTACAGTAATATTATGAATCCCATTGCATTGAAATTTATAACCAGAGAGTGATGCAGTCGATTCTTTCTAGATGGAAGACTCAACTATATATATGTTTAGAGTCATTTCTTATCGGTACGTCTTTGGCTAGTAATATCAAAGGTGTAAATGCTTTAGGTCCTTGGGTAGTATGAGCGAATGGGAAATTGATCCGATCAACATAGCTCATACGTGGCTCTGCCAGCTTTGATAAAGCAGACGTTGCATGTGACGAGACTAGCGTGTCACATTCCATGGAACCTTAGAACCTTAGAATATGGGAACCTTGGCTCGGCTTAAACTCAATGAGCGAATCAGGGCGTTCAGATAATAATTAGTGGGTCAGAGAGGGGCATGCCCAGTTGTACCCAGTACTACCCAGTAAGACAAAAGCGGCAAGGCCTGAAATCCGGTACCTGCGTACAATACTTCCAAGGCTGGTCTCTCATATTTCCAAGATGTACCTAACCTCCTCCGTACCGGTAATTTTACCTTCTCCGTTTTATTTTTATCTTTTCCCTTTCCTTTGGCTATTCTCCCGAGGTCCCTTCTTACTGGCTATCATCTCCAATGGATTTCCACCATCCCTATAAGCCATACGATATTCAACTACAGTTTATGCAGGCCTTGTATGCCTGCCTGGAAGATAGCAAGGTCGCTGTATTTGAATCCCCGACTGGTAAGCTAGAATTCACAGTGTTGGTTTCGTTGATCTATCTAACATAATGTTATGCAGGTACTGGAAAATCTTTAAGCTTAATCTGTGGCTCTTTGACTTGGCTTCGGGATCACAAGCGGAAGGCCTTCCAGGAAAGTGTTGATGCAACATGTGGGTCCCATTGTGAAAGATATGACTGCATAGCATCTGTCTGACATTCCAGGCGATGACGATGAGCCCGAGTGGATGATAGAACATGCCAAACGGGAATCTAGGCGTGCCATTACCGAAAAGAGACAAGAATTCGAAGCCCGACTGGCCAAGATTAGGCAAGAGGAAGAACGTTTGAAACAGGCCCAGGACAGTGCAGACCGACCCCGTAAAAAGCAGGTATGCATATATTCACCGATTGGTGCAAGGTCACTATACCAACTAGAAAATAGCGACTGGACGAATCAGCACCGGAACTTGTGGACGATGACGACCAATTTGTTCTCGATGACTATGATAGCGACACAGACAATCAGAAAAGGCAGAATGACTCTGGGAATTCCGACGGCCTGTCTGCAAGCACTCTAGCCTTGTTAGAACGCTTTCAAGGGAAATTCTCAACACAAAAGAAAGAGAAAGAGGATGACGGAGATGATGAGATTAAGATCTTTTTTTGCTCAAGAACACATTCTCAGCTGAGCCAGTTTGCCGGTGAATTGCGACGAGTCACCTTTCCATCTAGTTTACCTAGCGACCTCGATCCAGAGAGCAAAGATGACCTCTCCAAACTGGAAGAGCGCGTGAAACACCTGTCGCTAGGGTCCAGAAAGAATCTGTGCATCAATCCCAAAGTCCGAGCCTTGGAGAACAACACCGCAATTAACGAGAAGTGCTTGGATTTACAGCAAGCCGGCGTAGCAGCCGACAAGAAATGCCCCGTTATTCCCTCCAAAGATGACGAGGCTCTGGCTCTTGAGTTCAGGGACCATGCTTTGGCGACTGTCAAGGACATCGAAGACATTGCCCAGGTTGGGAAAAAGCTCGGAATATGTCCCTACTATGCATCTCGTCCAGTTATCAAACACAGCGAGGTCAGTTTCACCCGGGAACAGATAGAACGTCGTCTCTAACTCAAAACTAGATCGTCACACTTCCATATCCCTTGTTGCTGCAAAGATCAGCCCGCGAAGCCCTCAATCTCTCCGTCAAAGGTCATATTGTTATCATCGATGAAGCCCACAACCTCATGGATGCAATAGCTGGCATTCATTCGGTGACTGTCTCCCTAAGTCAACTGCAGAGTGCAATTGGGCAGCTGACAACATACGCCCGTAAGTTCAAGAACAGACTAAAAGGGAAGAATCGGAACTATGTTGCGCAAGTCATCCGCTTGGTAAGCTCAATTGCGGAGCATATGAAGTCGATCTCCCAGCAAAAAGGACCACTAGAAGGCTCGGTGCAAGCATCAGATCTGATGGCTGGAAAGGGAGTTGACCAGATCAACCCTTATAAGCTCTCTAGATATCTGCAAGAGAGCAAGCTCGCCCGGAAAGTTGACGGCTATCTCGAATCTTCGCAACAGCCACAACCTGGTAGATCCAAGGATAAAACAACAATGCCGGTTTTATTTCATATTCAAAGCTTTCTTCTTCCTCTTATGAACCCTTCGGAAGAGGGACGGCTCTTCTTTCAGAAAAGTCAAGACGATGTTTTGTTGAAATACATGCTTCTTGACCCGACAAACCACTTTCGGGAAATTGCCGAAGATGCTAGGGCCGTCATTTTAGCTGGTGGTACCATGTCTCCGGTGAGTACAGCTCATATCTTCTGGCATTGTAACTCTCTTACGCTGTCAACAGATGTCAGATTATGTGAATCATTTGTTTTCATATTTACCCCCAGAACGACTGGGGACATTCAGCTATGGCCACGTCATTCCAAAATCCAACTTAGTGGCGCAGTCATTGGCTCAAGGGCTGATGGGAAACGAATTTGATTTTACTTATGAGGCACGAAATTCTGAAAGGATGGTATGTACAAATTCCTGTACTTTGAAAAGGTTTGTTATTGACATATGAACTAGATCACCGACCTTGGTCGTACGATAACAACCCTCTGTCAAGTCATTCCAGACGGTGTCGTCGCGTTCTTCCCCAGTTATGACTATCTCAGTCATGTTCTGAGTGTTTGGAAGAAGCCCATTCCCAACGGGAACGGCCAAACCACTCTCAATCTACTGGAACGGAAGAAGAAGGTTATGTACGACTCTCGCGAAGCAGTGACAACTACAGATGATTTACTGAGGGAGTACACTGAGGCCGTTGAGTCGGGATCCGGGGCTTTACTTCTCTCTATCGTGGGCGGCAAGTTGTCAGAAGGCATTAATTTCTCCGACAAGCTAGGGCGCGGCGTCTTTATCATCGGCCTACCATTTCCCAATATCCGCAGCGCTGTCTGGCAGGCCAAAATCCAGTACCTCGAGGAAAAGACCTACAAACAGGCTTCTGGGTCCGAGTCGGAAAGGAAAGCAACGGGCAAGGCAGCGGGCAGGGAATTCTACGAGAATTCGTGCATGCGAGCAGTGAACCAGTGTATTGGTCGAGCCATCAGGCATGTAAACGACTACGCTGCTATTATCATGATTGACCGCCGGTATGAGTCGCCGCGGATCCAGCAAAAACTGCCTGGTTGGATTAGAGGAAGCTTGGTCCCAGCACCTCCCACGCGGGCGGCTCAAATGACTGTGCAAAGACTTTCAAAATTCTTCGCCGAAAAAAGGGCGATAGTGGAATATGCACTGTAATTGGATCATTACAAATAATGATACAGCATCATAATCTTCCCATCAAATCCGTGCTCGTATTGGAGATGTGCCGTAACCCTACATTGTAAAAGACCGGCAGAATGGAGAAGGCGGTGTATGTCATCCGTGACATAAGTTCTGACAAAGCCAGGGCTAGGGTTCCACGATCACGGGACAAGCGAATTTGTTAGCGCACACTCTAAGCCTGGATTTCAACATCCTGTAGACGGAACGATCCCTTCAACGCCAAACATCAACGGTCTTGTCGAAACACCCCCGCCGACAAGATGCCTACCCGTTTCTCTAACACCCGGAAGCAGTGAGTCGACACCCTTTCCTGTGCCGTCTGAATCGAATTCTTTTCTCGTCGATCGCGACCAGAAGAACCAAATTCGTCATACCCCAGTCGCAATATCACATCAACATATCACTAACCTGTCTTTCTCTCGCAGCCGCGGCCATGTGTCTGCCGGTTACGGTCGTGTCGGCAAGCACCGCAAGTCCCCCGGTGGTCGCGGTATGGCCGGTGGTCAACACCACCACCGTACCAACATCGACAAGTTCCACCCTGGTTACTTCGGTAAGGTTGGTATGCGTTACTTCCACAAGACCAACCAGCAATTCTGGAAGCCCACTATCAACGTCGATAAGGTACGTTACATCTACATTTTGCGAGTCGATTCGAGATGAAGGAGAAGAAGTTGTGGATTGGTCTGGAGTTGGAGCACCGGTGCGCAAATGGCGACAATATGCAAAAGAGGAGGGAGGCCAATCGACAACTATCCGAAGAATTTGCGGAATTCGATTCAAATGGACAATTATCGCTGACCGCGACTTTCTTCTACAGCTCTGGTCCCTCGTTCCCGCCGAGCAGCGTGACGCCTACCTGAGCGGCCAGAAGACCGATGTCGCCCCCGTCATCGACCTCCTGCCCCTCGGCTACTCCAAGGTTCTTGGAAAGGGCCGTCTCCCCCAGATCCCCGTCGTCGTTCGTGCCCGCTACGTCAGCCGTGACGCCGAGGAGAAGATCAAGGCCGCCGGTGGTGTTGTTGAGCTCGTCGCATAAGCGTTGATTCGTCGAGATATTTCTGGAGAAGGCGGGTGAATAGGGGCAATTTGAAGCCCTAGCTGTGTTCGTTCGCCAGCATGGAGGACGATCGGAACTCAAAATGAGATTTGCCCGAACCGAAACTAAGTCGGTTCAAGCGGTCGAAAATAAAAAGGGTTTTTTTGTATGCAATCAGCATAGCATATGGCCTCCGAATGCCCTTACGATTTCATCAGTGTGTTAAACAAATACCATAAGGAGGATTTTTTTCAAATGTTTATGATGACTCCCGGGCAGAGTGTTGGTTCTGAATTATTGCGCCACGCTCATGTAGGATGACCGAGGCTGTCTTGGGGCATGAAAGGTTTCGAATACCGAACAGGTTCGCTGTTAAAGCTCTATCTTCGTAGATTTGTCTACCAATCTGTCCGATTACAATTGCAGAACCTACGCCAGTGACAGGTCTTGTCTATTCACA